TTTGGCGAGCCACACCGGAGGCAGAACCGCTGTTATTGTGTCATTAAAATCTTTGCATGCTGCTTGTCAAATTTTAATACAGAATTTGTTATAGCTGCTTGGAAATGAATCCGTTTCCTTCTGTGAGAAGCTCTCAGGTGGATGGATATTAAAGATATAGATATTTGATGGACAAATATTCAGATAGATGGATAGATCATCAAATACGCATTGATGGTTCGATATTCAGATATATATTTAATAGATAGATGTTTAGAAATTCAGTTATATTGATATTCAGATATTAGATTGGATTTTGGATTGTTTTTCTTTCTTTCTTTCTTGTAATCTCCTTTTACATCAGCACATTATAATACTTTTGTTATTGCTGTACAGTATAAAGTATGTTGAGCAACTCCTTCAGGATTCATTCGGGAGTCGTGATTCCTGAGTCAGTCAAAAGAGTCGTTTAGAAGTCCAGCATCCAGCATCATGACAAATATACATAGGCTATGTAATGTCTTGCGGTTGTGTATGAGAAAGTGTGTGTTGTTAGGGAAGGATGATGTCTGTCTGCTTCATGTCTGGGCTTGACACCAGCTCGAACCCCAAACCTGCAGCAGCGTTATGGAGCTCTTTGTGTTTTATGGGTGTCATATTCAGATGTTTGATGGTTCTGGTGTCTCATGATGTGCCTCTGCAGGATGTCTGTCAGTCAGGCGGTTTCTGTCAGTGTTTCTCGTGTAGTTTGTGACTCTCAGCGCTGAACAAGAAGAGAATGATCTTCTGAAATACAGCGGCACACAGCAGACCACTGTAATGGTATCTCAAGGATACTAAATGAACTCTAAATCTGATTATTGATGTATCCACACCGATATAAAGGGGTGTTTGACCTGGGGTCACGGTTGTGATGTTAATGCTCACTGTGGGAACATCCTCGGCTCGTACTTCTGCCAGTGTCTTCAGGGATACAGCGGAGACGGACACTCCTGCTACGGTCAGTCTGAGATCTGCATCCATGCAGTCTGAGTGAGGTTCTGATGATGATGATGACGAAGCTCGTGACTGTGCTTTGCTCAGATGTGGATGAATGCGCTCAGGATAACAGACTCTGTGAACACGACTGCATGAATCAGCCGGGGACGTACATCTGTGTCTGCAGAGCTGGGTACGCAGTCACTGCAGATCTACACAACTGCACAGGTGTGAGACCTCAGTGTGATTCAGTTCAGTGTGATTCAGTTCAGCTCCACTGAGTTCAGTCAGACCAGCATTTAAATCCATTCAGTTCACTTTAGTACAGCTTGTGTGTAATGTATTTCAGCTGAATTAATTTAATTTCAGGTTCATTTAGTTTTTTACATCTCAGATTCATATAAATCAAGCTATGTAAATGTATTTATCTATTAATGAAAGTTAATCTTAATTCAGTTTAGTTCCTTTTAGTTTTAATTCAACGTGCAACTAAATTCAGCATAATGCATTTGATTTCTGTTTAGGCAAATTAACTTGGTTTAATTCATTTTTGATGCACTTAAGTTGAATTTAATTCCATTTAGATTAATTCAGTGTAGTTCCACTTACTTGCGTTCAATTCAGTACACTTTAGTTAGGTTGAAATTTTAATTCATTCCAGTTCAGCTACAGTTCATATTAATTCAGTTTAGTTCCATTCAGTTCAATTTAGTACAAATCAGTTCACTTCAGTCACTTAGATTCATTTTAAATGAATTCTGCAATTCCGTTGGCTTTAATTGGTTTTATTTTGATTTCATTTCATGCACTTTTTTAGCATGACATCTACCTGTATATTTCATACCTGCAAACTAGTCGCTTTTCAGCGAAATTCACCGTTTTGAATCAAAATATGTCATTTATGTGAATCGTCTAGATCCGAAGAGTATTTTTTTGGGGGGGGGCCAAGCTCATAGATTGGAGTGAGACCATAAGTGTGTTCGACCAAAGTCCCTTTCTTGGTTTGATTTGAAGCAGCAGCGCACAGACCGATCGTTGTATGACACCAAAGCACCGTGAGAGCTACAAAATCCAATGTCCCGACAAAACCAGATGAACACCATCAAGTCTACAGTAAACCTCCCACTTAATAGGGAGCCAAACACACAGACACACTCACTCAGATATAATAAGATTGTGTATATTGGCTTTTGCACATTGTGCATGTGCATTTTTACAGACTAATAAAGGTATTTTAATGTGACTTATTTACATGATTGTGTGATCCTCTTTGAACTGCTGTGCAAATGTTTAACTGAGTAAATCCAGGTAATCTGAAACTACTAAAGGAAGATAAAAACGGTGCATCACTTCTGCTCACAGAGCCGTGTGAATGTGCTGAATAAACGTGTGCTGCTTATACTGCTGTATGAAACATGACTGAGAGTTACAGGGGCTGAACTCTGCCATATATTGCATGAGAGGAGAGACACTGAGCTGTTTGCCGACCGGAAGACGTCTAAAGACATGTCTGATCTGAAGAAAACCAGACGACCATCAGCCGAGGAAGAGCAGGTAAAATAATACACACTAAATAGTCATATAAACACGCTATTGTGATTTAAAGATACAGTAAAAATCTCCTTTAGATGCAATGAAATCGTAATGTGAAATATTGGAAAAAATATTTAATACAACAATTTGAGTTCATTCTTTAGGGACCAATTCTCTCTATTAACTAGCTGCTTATAAGCATGCATATTAACTGTTTATTAGTACGTATATAGTACTTATTAATGCCTTATTCTTCATGAGCATATTTTAGATTCCTTAATCCTATACCCTATTCCTAAACTATTAAGAAGCAGTAATTAGCAGTTTGAGGCAAAAGTCAGAGTTAATGGTTAATGCTGAGAATTGGATGTGAAAAAATGTGACTCAACTTTAATTGTTTCTATTATGCATTTACAGTAAAACATTTTAAAATGTCTTAAAATTGTCTTTTTTTAATATCTGTGTAATTCATTATTTTGTATTTAAATATTGACCTTTCTTCATTTAATATCAGTTATGTACATATGGGTGTTTGTTACATACTGTATGGTTTATGACATATCAAGGCTGAAATGCACACATATTATTATTTTATACTTCTGATGACTTCGAGTTCATTTCAGTATCAACTTTTAGATGTTCATCCTAAAATCCAATTAATAATAAGTTAGCCTAATAATGATGATGATGATTTTAACATTAAAACTATATATTTATAATAATAATAATAATGTTTTTTATTTTATTTATTCTCTTTATGTAGTAAAATTACACACAAATGAGTCAATAGTTGTCATCCACACTGTAAAAATTATTTTTTTCAAAGTTGTGAATGTGTATTATGTGTATATTCAATGTGTTACTGTCTGAATCAAATGATTCGTGATACGCGCTCCGTAGTCCCGATCTGAATCAAAAGATTCACGAACCTACTCTGAAGTTCCAATCTAAATCAAATTTGCGATGTGCGCTCCAAAGTCCTGATTTGAATCAAAAGAGTTGTGAACCCGCTCCTGAGTTTCACCCATCACTATACGTGTTCTTTAAAATCATTAAAAGCGATGTCGAAACTTGAAAATGAATGGCTCTTTTGATCGTTTTTTTGCAAGTGAATCACTTGAACTGAATGATCGAAGTCACGAGTTTGAATCAATCGAAACGGTTCCAGTGTAAATGACTCACTTAAAGGGATAGTTCACCCAAAAATGAAAATGTGATGTTTATCTGCTTACCCCCAGGGCATCCAAGATGTAGGGGACTTTGTTTCTTCAGTAGAACACAAATGATGATTTTTAACTCAAACCGTTGCAGTCTGTCAGTCATATAATGGAAGTGAATGGGAATCACGGCTTTGAGAGTAAAAAAAACATACACAAACAAAACCAAATTAAACTCTGC